ACACTACAAATATTTTTAACTGCCCATATTAAGATTAATTTTTCTCCTGAAAATAAAAGAAAATTACTTCAAGTTAATTTATGGCTTCAATTGAAACAAAATATTTCTATCACTTCTGTCGAAGTTACCTCCTCCTTAATTCCCAAATTGTCACTAGGGGTCTCGCTCCCCATACTATAAATACTGGGTGACTTCTTGCCTTAATCTCTTTTCCTTCAGGTCTCGTGCTGGATCCCACCTCGCGTGGAGGTGAGGTAAATCCTCTTTTTCATTTCAGGGACTATGTAAGCTCTCTTAGGAGATAGCGTTTCCCACTTGTGGGGAGACGTCATGAGCATTATACACACATACACGTACATATGAACACCTACCAAAGGACAAACACAAATGTTCACACACATACAAATATTATTGTCTATGTCCATTGTAAAATTGTTTTGTTTAATACATATATTTGTTTTTATATATATATATATATATATATATATATATATATAGATATATATATATCAGTCTTGTTTGTCTTCTTTCATCTTCAGTTGGACACAACTAGAGTCCGCCATTTTTCTTGTAGCTTGACCTTCTTCTAGCAGGAAATATAAAAATGCATGTGTTTTCTTTATATCTTCACCTCCTGGTCCGCTACACTTCTATCATGAGAGAGAAGAAAAGGTTGTCATAGATTTTTTTAAAATGGAAACCAGTAAAAGAAGAAGAACTCCTTATAACTTTCATTCCACCTGCTTAAAATAATATACAGATGTATTTATTACTACCTGTATAATAGTTATTATGTAGACATATGGCTGAGTGGTTAGAATATTGGCATTCTGACTTTTAAATCTGGGTTTAAATCTCATTATGGAGGATTTATCAAGAAGGTGACTAGGGTCATATCATGGATTAATCCAAGCCTTTTGAATTCAATTGGGAAAGCAACTCTTTATATATCAATACTAACTTAGAATAAGGTTGATAGTAATCACTAAAAAATTGCTTGCATAAATGAATTCTTATGACTGAATTATATGTATCTAATATCCATTTTCACATAGTATAACATTATGGAAAAGTAGATTAGAACAGATGGATGAATTTGATAAAAAACATGAAATGAAGTAAAAGAGGAAGAAGTATTATGAGAAAAGGACACAGAACAAAAGGATGAAATTGATAAAAAGCATAAAATGAAACAAAAGAGAAAAAGTATAAAATTATGGAAAAGTAAATTAAATTAAAAAGATGCAATTTATAAAAAAGCATAAAATAAAGTAAAAAAGAAAAACAATAAAATTATGGAAGAGTGAATTTTATCAAATTCATCAACTTGTTCTAAGTTGATGAATTTGATAAAATAGCATAAAATGAAACAAAAGAGAAGTAAAAGCATAAAATTATAAAAAAAATTAAACTAAGATGAAAGTGATAAAAGTGCATAAAAAGAAGTAAAAGCAAAAAACACATAGAATTATGGAAAAGTGAATTAGAACAAATAGATGAAATTGATAAAAAAGCATAAAATGAAGTAAAAAAGCATAAAACTATGGAAAAGTGAAGTACAACAAGAGGATGAAATTCATACAATTAAAATGAAACAAGAGAGAAAAAAACATAGAATTATAGAAAATTGTATTAGACCAAAATGATGAAATTGATAAAAAAGCGTGGAAAAATGAATTAAAATATGGAAAAGTGTATTAGAAGAAATGAATGAATTTGAAAAACAGCATTAAATGAAGTAAAAAAGAAAAAAGCATAAAATTATGGTAAAATGAATTGGAACAAATGGAAAAAAACATAAAATGAGACAAAAGAGAAATTTAAAAAAAATGATTTAATCAGTTCCAAAGAATGGATTTGATAAAAAAGCATAAAATGAAGAAAAAGAGAAGAAAAAAGCATAAAATTATGAAAAAGTGAATTAAAACAAAACGATGAAATTGATAAAATGAAAAAATAATACAAAAGAAAATTGAAATAATGGAAAAGTGAATTAGAACAAAAGTTGAAATTGATTAAAATGCATAAAATGAGATGAAAGAAAAAAAAAAAAAACATAAAATTAAGTAAAAGTGAATTAGAACAAATGGATGAATTTGATAGAAAAACATAAAATGTAGCAAAAGACAAATAATCATAAAATTATTGAAAAATTAGACTAAAACTATAAAATTGATAAAAAAGCATAGCATGAAACAAAATAAATAAAAGCATGAAATTATGGAAGAGTGAATTAGAATAAAACAATGAAATTCAAAAAACACTATAAAATAAACAAAAGAGTAAAAAGCATAAAATTATGGAAAATTGTATTAGACTAAATGGATGAAATTTATAAAAAAGCATAAAATGAAGTAAAAGAGAAAAAAACATAAAATTATGGTTAAGTGAATTAGAACAAAAGGATGAAATTGATAATAAAGTATAAAATGGAACAAAAGAGAAAAAACCATAAAATTATTGAAAAGTGAATTAGAACAAAAGGTTGAAATTGATAAAAAATCATAAAATGAAGTAAAAGGGAAGAAAATATAAAATAATGGAAAAGTGTAAAGTGAACAAAATGATGAAATGTAAAATGAAGTAAAAGAGAATTTTTTAAAAAGAAAAGATAATTGTACCTGCTGGAAAATATGGAGAGAAAAATTATGTTTTCAATATTGAATTCATATAGAATAGATGCCTAGAAATTAACTAGAAAGTCACATTTTTGAACTTTACATTGTCATATCTTTATCATTATAGAGCATAAAGATCAATTTTCCATGAAAATGATATTTTTTACTCAAATAAATATCAAAGCATATTGAGAGATATTCTTCCTACAGACTGGATATGGATTTTTCTGTACTGATGTTATACTCTGCTGCAAATTAGATCTCTTTCTGATTCACTCTATATGTTGACTAGAATCTAACAGAGACATTTCCACTTTATGATACTTCACTAATCCACTCCAAGCATTTCTTGTCATCACCACCATAACCTCTGTTAACCGACTTGTCAAACACATCAGCTCCAGGCCTTACCAACTCTATCCACATTCAAAATTGTCACAATCACCAGCAGAAAGACATTTTGCTTGTATTGGCAAATACAAAATAGTTTTTTATTACAATTTTTGTTTTCTTTTTCTTTTGCCACACTGATGGTATTGCTGTTTTGTTTGGTTTCCCATACTACCATGATATTCTCCAAGAATTGTAGAGTCTCTGAATGAAAATTTCTTTCTCTTCACACTGTAACTAAGTATCTGCTATCTTTCATTGTTGGCTTCAGCTGGTTAGAAAAAAATTATTGACCAGGCAATTAGGTAATTTCCTGATTGATATTAAGATGTGATTAAAAATATTGAGCTTGTAAGGGTTCATGTGATAAGATAACAGTGTATTAAAACTTAAAGGGTTTTTTGTTATCTGAATGGCTCACTGATTCTTTACTGAATATAATCTTGTTTAGGAAGATACTTTCTTATGGCTGCTCATTTGTAATAGCTCATGTGATTTAGATACCATATTACTATTACTGGACTGATTTTAATACATTTTCAATTTGCAATGGAGATTTTTTTCAATTTCTGATGATCCTGATTGACTTGAATAAGATATAATAGTTTGATTACTTTTATTAGTGACCTGAATGATAAAATGTGTTTGATAATTGAAATTGGAATTAAAACCTATTGATGCATTAAAAGGATCAAAATTGGGAATACTGATCCTTTCAATTTATCAACAATGGAATAAAAGAAGTTTAAAAAATTGGCTGCCTTTGAAAGCATTGTAAAGTGGTTATGTAGTTATTACTTTTAATTCTATTGTAAATCTCAATGAATATAGTTTTATTGCAAGTTGTATCTGCAGCTTTATGCCTGCTGATTACATGTCTCTGTTGAACAGCAGAAATCAAATATCAGTTCTTGTAGATCTCAATATACTCTCTGATTTCTTCTCAGTCTAACTTTGTTAGATTCGAATTTTAATCTTTACAGAATTCAAGTTTAATCATTAAAGGATATTCATTTTATCAATAATTTATCACCAAAGCAATGCAGAAAAAAAATTACACACGGAAAAAAAAACTATAAGTCCCAAAATAGGGAACATCAAGAAATAGCTTGGATTTAGATGCTTTATTGATAAGAAATGACAAATGATTCTTTCCTGTTAATGAGCAAAATGGATAATATTTAAGAAATGCCAAAAATATATCTTCAGTTAAAACTTTTTAAATTCATAGAGGAGAGAGTGAAGAATAAGTTGAAGCTTTGATATTTTTGGTTAGATTTTGAGATAGAACAATGTGAACAAGCAGTCATTATGATGACCCTTATATGTTAAATTAAAACATTAGAAATATCAACCATCCCAATATTTATGTATTTTTCATGCTAAAATTAAAATCTATAGATTGATGTATCTCTATTGCTTCCAAAAGAATATGCATATTTATTTGTTTAGATAAAAATGGCATTCTTCAGCAAACTTTAAAATCAAAGACAATGAAGTACAAACTATCACAATGACTGATAAAAGAATGACATTATTAAATGACTTTTTATTCAAACCAGCATTTACTCATTTTGGTTGCTATACACACAAATTTTTAGCTACTGTACTATCTTGGTCTTCTACTTGGCAACTTCCTTGCAATTTTGAACTGAGCTCTTTATTCAATCCATGGGGGATGAGATTGTTTTTATTCTGCCTTCCACATAAGGGAATATTTAGTATCAGTTCAAGTCTCTCTAGTCTATTTGCCTTTGTATCACTTGTACATTACTTCCACTGAACCAAATTATATGACTTTTTTGCATTACCCAACTGAAGGATTGAACTCATCACTTTCAAGAAACAAGTGGGTCACATGATAGAATGGTTGAAATATTGTGATTATAACAATCAAAATGAACATGCTGGTTCAAATAGAAGGGCCTATAATAATGATAATTCCTCATCTCAAGAATTTCACTATAAAAAGAATATCATTGATAAGCTTACCTTATCAAAGTGGCATTTCCATTGCTGTTAAAGAAAAAGAGTTTTTGCATTTAAGTTACTTGAGATAAGATTTAAGACTTTGTATATAAAATAAGTCATTGTTCTCTATAGAAAGGCTAATTTATTGAAAATTTCTCTTCTTGAAAGTCATCAATGAAACAAAAGAGCAGATTGTTACAATAAAAAAGGGGTTCTTGGAGAATATTTAAGAATTGATCCTTACAGAAGTCAACATTTGTATGATCCTTTTTTAAGAAATTCATTTAAATAGTATTGAATGCGTGTATGTATGTGTGCTTATTTAAGTATCACATATAGAAATAATCTTGATATATAATAAAGTGATTAGGTACTAATATACTTAAATTTATAAATTACATGCCATGGCTTAAGACTATTATAACAATTTGAATCAAATATTTTATGCATTTTCTATGAATAAATTTATTCCTATAAGTTAAAAATCAGCACTGTTTTCATTTAAAAAAATTGACTTTTCAAAATAAAATTATCACAGATGATCTGTAATTCATTGAAAGTTTTGACACTTGTTACCAAGAAGAGAAGAATTGAAAAACCTGAAATTGGTGATGGAAATGGGATTTATAAACTAGGTATATGTTAAAGTCTAAGGAGCTTAGGTTAGGAATGAAGTAAATACTATAATCACCAATTATAATCAGAAAATCTTTTGTAAATCTTAGGGTCATTTTGTGTCTAAATGCATGGGGAATAATGATTTAATCATTATTTTATCAGTAACAGTCAAATAAAGATTGGCATGAGAAAAATATTTAGGGAAAATAAAAAGAAAGCTTTCAGATAATTTATAAATTTATTGAAAATAATATTGTACTAGCAAAAGTTTAGCTTGCTTTGTTATATTTACTGTTTACATAAAATGCTCAGCCAATAATAATTGTATATTGCACAATTTTACAAATCTTTCTAAATATAGGAGAGATGTACAATGCTCAAACAATGATAATTATATATTTTACAATTTTTACAAATCTAGCTACATGTACTAGAGATGTACAATGATCAGCCAATAATTTTACAATTTTACAAATCTTTCTATATGTAGTATGGATTTAAAATGATCAGCCAATAATAACTACATACTTGCAATTATGCAAATCCTAAATATATGCATCATAGATGTACAATGATCAGCCAAAATATTTTTATATTTTACAATTTTATAAATCTTTCTATATGCAGTAGAGATGTACAATGATAAGCCAATAAGAATTGTATAATTTTCAATTTTACAAAACTATATTTATTACAGATGCACAATAATCAGCCAAAAATAGGTTTATATTTTACCATTTTACAAATCATTCCATATGGAGTAAAGATATACAATGATAAGCCAATATTAATTATACAATTTCCAAATATTTCTATATGCTGTATAGATGTACAATGAGCAGCCAGTAATAAATGTATATATTTTAATTTTGCAAATCTTAAATAGATGTTGCATAGATGTTGCATAGATGTACAATGAACAGCCAATAATAATTGTATATTTTACAATTTTACAAATCTAGCTAAATATAGTATAGATGTATAATGATCAGCAAAAAATAAATTTATATTGTACAATTTTATAATTCTTTCTACATGTAGGATAGATGTAGACTCATAAGCAAATAATAATTGTATATTTTGCAAATCTAGCTATACACAATGATCTACCAATAATAATAGTTTAAAATTTAAAAATCTAGCTATTTGTTCCATTGATGTAACATACACAGCCAACAATAATTGTATATTTTACAAACCAACCTATAAGTAATAGGGATAGAAAATGATCATACAGTAATAATTTTATATTTTACAATTTCATAAATTTTCTCTATGTAGTATAGATATACAATGATAAGCAAATAATAATTGTATATTGTACAATTTTACAAATCTTTCTATATGTAGGATAGATGTACAATGATCAGCCAATAATAATTGCATATTTTCTAATATTATAATTCTAGCTATATATAGTATAGATCCAAAATGCACATCCAATAATAATTGTATATTTTACAATTTTTTTTACAAATTTACCTAAATAAATTCTTAGATATTTAGAATATCCATTTCTGAAATTTCTATTTATGTATTAATTACCTGGATTAATAAGTGAATTACACTCCAGTTGTCATTACAAAATTATTATGGACTGATCATTATACATATATGCTATTTATATAGGATATATGTATAATGATCAGTCCATAATAATTTTATATTTTGCAATTTTAGGAAACTCTGTTTAGATGATATAGATCATCCAATAATAATTGTATATTTTCAATTTTACTAATCTCGCTTTAGGTAGTATTGAGGGCAAATATACTGCCAATAATAATTGTATATTTTACAATTTTATACATATGTGGAAAGGATATAGAATGATCAGCCAATAATAATTGTGCATTTTACAATTTTGCAAATCTACCTGTATATATTATAGATGCTCACTGATCAGCCAATAATAATTGTATATTTTACAATTTCCAAATATAGCTATATGTTGTATAGATGGAAAATACATAGTCAATAATAATTGTGTTTATTACAATTTTACAAATCTTTCTATATGTAGTATATATGTACAATAATCAGCCAATAAAAATTGTATATTGCACAATTTTACAAATCTAGCCATATGTAATATAGATGGAAAGTACACAGTCCATAATAATTGTATATTTTACTTATATGTATTAGAGATACACAATAATCAGCCAATAATAATTGTATGTTTTACAAATTCACAAATCTTTCTCTATGTACAATTTCCAGTTAGTAATAATTGTATATTTTAAAGTTTTATCAAATATCACCCCATGTAGTATGGATGTACAATGATCAGCAAATAATAATTGTATATTTTATAGTTTTGAAAATATTGCTATATGTAATGTATGTATACATTAAATAGCCAATAATAATTGTAAATTGTTACCATTTTCCAAATCTTAAATATGTGTAGTATACATTGAAAATACACAGTCAATAATAATTGTATATTTTACAATTTTACAAATTTTTTCATATGTAGTATAGATGCTCAATGATCAACCAGTATACAAATGTAACTTAGATATTTAGAATATCCATTTCTGAAATTTCTATTTATGTATTAATTACCTGGATTAATAAGTGAATTACTCTCCAGTTGCCATTACAAAATTTTCTTTAATTGTAAAAAGTCACTTTTTTGGTTTCTTCCACTTTTTTTCTGTATGTTGTTTCATATCATCTACTACTAACACTTGTATATTCTTTGGGGTTGAATTTAGACATAGGTGTTTTCACCAACTTAATGAACAGAAGATCAGTTTGGAGTTTTTCATGTTGTGGTTCAATGCAAAATGCTTTGAAATAGCTTTATATGACTGTCACATTAACTTTACAATTTAGCAAGATGAAGCAAAGCATTCCACACTGAAAATACAATCAATTTTTAACAGGTAACAGTAAAGAGTCTCAGTTTATTTTAATTCATCCTGATAAAACCTGTCATATAAGTGAATACAGTTTAGAAAAAAGAAGCCAAACAGTTGTATTTAGATAAATAAATAGTTTTGTAACCCCTATATTTCATCCTAACATTACTGATGACAATATCACATTTTCTTTTATGCATTGCATTGAAAGACCACCTCTTTGTAAGCAATTACAAGTAGATTTTACATTTGTACCAAGTTGCGTATATTCTACTATATTTTTATTACATTAAACGTGATTTTTAGTGAATATACATGTTTGAGTAGGCACTCCATTTATTTATTGAACATTTTATTTATTTATTCATTTTCATCTGCCAGCCTGAGTGTTTGAGATAGCTCAGTTGCATATTGGATTTAACAATATCTTCCTCTGCCCTGATGTATGCAATTTCAAATCCTATCAGAGTGTAAATTTTCCTTTAATGAAATTTCTTGAACATTCAGTCTGGTAAGTGAAAATTAATAAATATACTGTTTAATAAGTAAATGGTGTGTCTACTCAAATATGAATATCTACTAAAATTTAAAGTGATTAAAATTCATTCTAAAAAATTCTCATTGTTTATAAATATGAAACTGTGCAGGAGATCTATAAAGAGAGAAGTTTTCGCTTAAGGGTCCAATTCAGATCTTGCCTGCCTAATTGTCTAGTTGGTCAGAGAGTATCAGATTTAATGATAGCTTCCTCTGCCCAGAGAGATGCAGGTTTGAGTCCTGCTAGTGAGTTTAGTTTTCTTTAATGAAACTTCTCAAGCCAGTAGATAAAAATAAATAAATATACTGTTTAATAAATAAACAGAGCATCTATTCAAATATGAGTATCCACCAAAAATAACATTTAAAGGGATAAAAATCTGTTGAATCCATTCTAAAAAATGACTATATCAAAATAAAATGAGGTAAGTTGGGAAGATTTAACAATTACTGCATTGAAACAGATGATTAATACAATTTTGTAATTAATAGTTGTAGATTCATCAATCCTAATTTACATTTTAGCATATATTTTCATTATTACCGTTTACATTTGGTTCTCTATGAGAAATATCTGTACATGATTTAATGTACCATTTCTTACATTTCAAGAAAACATCTTTGTGTATGGTGTACCTTTCTTTACAATATTATATACAATTTGAAAAATTCAGCCGGATTTTGATTTTTTTCTTTTTCACTGACATATAATACCTTTTTGAATTCTTTTTTCAACTCTTTCATTCATATTTTTGGCATCTGATATAAGTTTCAATGATTTCAAATAAAAGCATAAAAACATCACCAAAAATCCTTTACTCATTAGTAGAAATTAAATTAAAATATTTCTTATATTATTTATAATGAAAAACAGTGTCTTTAATTTTTAGTTATGTTTTTTGTATGATTACATTTAGTAGGGAGTGTAGTATGACTTTTGTTGTATGAATTTCTAAATAGTCATTGTTTATATGAATGAAAAGATCATTAAATTTGTTTACTGAAGGCAATAAAACAATT